CTACAGAGGGATTTTGGACGAAACATTGAAATAGCCAAACAAATATTCAAACTATCAAACATTAGTTTTACAAATTGTCCCCAGACTATTTTTTGTTTTTATACTATTTTTGAAGCTCCCCCTGTAGAGTGACATGTCCGACTTAATCCTATAGAGGAGCAGAGAGCCAGTGACTTTCGTAGGATGGAAGGTTCAGGGTGCAATCCATATGGGCATTCGCGCCTCGAAGATCAGTCCGTCTTGTGATTCACCCTGTGCAGATTAAAGCTTCGAAAATCGACCAGAACGGCATTTCAGATCTCACCCTTTGCCCTCCACCCAAAGAAAATGCTCGGGAGAAGCGTATGAACGCGAACTTCCGGAGGTGCACGCAATTGTTGTTGTTTTTGTTTGAACTGGCGCCGGGGGCGGCGCCGGAGGCGCCGCCAGGGGGGGGGGAACGAGCGCTGATCCCCGAGATCCGCCGCGCGGACCTCCGGAAACGCATGCTTCTGGTCGGGAGCTTTTGCTCAGCGTGTCGCCGTGGCGGCCCTGGCGGCACGCCGCGCTGTGCAGGCGGATGTAGCGCGCAGCGCCGCTCCGCAGGGCGGCAGGCTCGGCAAGGCTCGGGGCGCTGAAGCCCCAGGGCCGGGAAGTGGACACGGTGGGGGCGTTGGATAAGGAAGCCTCTCGCTCTTTCCTTTCTGCTGCGATTGTCATCTGGTGCTCACAATGTCTGTCACTACCACCGAGATCGAGGATTTCGTCCGCGGCCTGTTGGAGAAGGCCCTGTGCGGCGCGGGCGCCGGGGCCCAGGTCACGTGGTGCGAGTTTGTGCTTTCAGTGGACGAGGCCCCCAAGGCTCACCACAACCTTTTCTGGTATCTTTCGGTGGGCCGGCTCTTGGCGGAAAGGATGAGCTCCACTTCGCCAAAAAGGATTTAGGATAATCCTGTTTTCGTGATTTGATTGGCTCGACCAAGGGTCTGGGGGCCGGAGGAACTCCAATTGAGGCTTGGCCATGGATATCACCGCCGCCCACATCACGTAAGAAATCCTCCAGGGTCTGCAGCCTCCTGGGCACATTCCGTAATCACCCCCCCCCCCGTAGCGTGTCGCGCCGCAGCGTGGTGGGCCAGAACCGGCGGAGCGACACGCCATCTAAAAACACTTCCCCGATTCGGGCACCTCGCCTGGCGATCGTTTATGGGTGGGCTGGTGTGGATACTTTTTTGACCGCAAGCGCACCGGGAGACGCCAGACGCCGTCCAAAGGTCGCAGCAAGCAGGCTACGAGCGAATTGCGCACCAGGAGGGGGGAGGGAAGGCAACGAGAGGACAGCGGAGGGAGGAACAAACAGGAGGCGGGCCTCGCTGCCGCTCAGAAGAGGCCGCCGTCGACTGGGCCGTCGACTGGGGGGGGGCCGCCAGCTGATGGGGATACTTTTTCCCAACCATCCTGTGGTGTTGGGTCCTCGTTTTGAAGAGACGGTGCCCCGCGTCTCCTCCTCTCCTCCTCCTCCTCTCCTCTCCTCCTCTCCTCCTCTCCTCTTCACCCACCCAGTACACCGTTTCGTGGCCCCATAGGGAGCTCCGCCGAAGGCCCCAGTGCTGCCGCCCGCATGCGTCCCGCACACCCAATTCGGCACACCCCTCACACGTTTCGTGGCCCCATAGGGAGCCCCACCGAAGGCCCCAGTGCTGCCGCCCGCATGCGTCCGCACACCCAATTCGGCACACCCCTCACACGTTTCGTGGCCCCATAGGGAGCCCCACCGAAGGCCCCAGTGCTGCCGCCCGCATGCGTCCCGCACACCCAATTCGGCACACCCCTCACACGTTTCGTGGCCCCATAGGGAGCCCCACCGAAGGCCCCAGTGCTGCCGCCCGCATGCGCCCCGCACACCCAATTCGGCACACCCCTCACACGTTTCGTGGCCCCATAGGGAGCCCCACCGAAGGCCCCAGTGCTGCCGCCCGCATGCGTCCCGCACACCCAATTCGGCACACCCCTCACACGTTTCGTGGCCCCATAGGGAGCCCCACCGAAGGCCCCAGTGCTGCCGCCCGCATGCGTCCCGCACACCCAATTCGGCACACCCCTCACACGTTTCGTGGCCCCATAGGGAGCCCCACCGAAGGCCCCAGTGCTGCCGCCCGCATGCGTCCCGCACACCCAATTCGGCACACCCCTCACACGTTTCGTGGCCCCATAGGGAGCCCCACCGAAGGCCCCAGTGCTGCCGCCCGCATGCGTCCCGCACACCCAATTCGGCACACCCCTCACACGTTTCGTGGCCCCATAGGGAGCCCCACCGAAGGCCCCAGTGCTGCCGCCCGCATGCGTCCCCACACCCAATTCGGCACACCCCTCACACGTTTCGTGGCCCCATAGGGAGCCCGCCGAAGGCCCCAGTGCTGCCGCCCGCATGCGTCCCGCACACCCAATTCGGCACACCCCTCACACGTTCGTGGCCCCATAGGGACACCGAAGGCCCCAGTGCTGCCGCCCGCATGCGTCA